GTCAGTGCTTCATTCCTTTTTTTGGCTGAGTGATATTCCATTGTGTAGATGTGCATTTCATTTATCCATTCACCAGTTGATGGGCATTTCGTGTTTGCACCTATTAAGAATAGTGCTGCTATGGACATTTACCTGTACAAGTCTGTGTGGGTGTATGTTTTCAGTTGTCTTATGAGATGCATAGGAGTGGAGTTGCTGGGTTGTGTGGTAGCTGCCAGTCCTTCTTCAAGACCTGGTCCTGCCAGTCCTTTAGCCTGGACCTGGCAGAGTGTGGCCTCCACTGCACCCTCTAGGCTAAAGTGAGTTGCAGGACCCACCCAGAGTCATGAGGAGGAGCTGACATGAGGGCCTGGCTGTCTAGAGGGGTTCATCAGGATCTTCATGTGACGCCCTCAGTGTGGAACCTGACACGTAGTAGCTACTCAAAAAATGTTACTCCCTGTTATTCTCTTAATTACTAAGAATAATCATGCAAAACTGGGGCAGTAGGGAGAACGTAAACTGTTAGAACTTAGATTGACATCCATCAGTTGGCCTGATAGCAAATCCCTCTTCAGGGTTTTGGAGATTATGGACACACTTCAGATTAGCAGTACCCAAGTCAGAAGGTGGGATCTAGAGGCTACTGGAGGTCAGAACAACTCCAGCACTAAACGAGATGACCAGGAGGCCCCATATGTTCCTTCTAGAAAATGTGGAACTATAGGCAAAAGTGTCAGAAGAAAAATCACCTTTCTACCTGTCAGAGATAAATACTGTAAATATTTTGATTTCTGTCCTTCCAGTATCTTCTCCATGTGTAATGTGCATAAGTAAATATATTTTAATAAAACTAAAATCAAGATCGTAATGTATATAGTTTATATGCTGCATTTTATCATTTAATATTAAATTGGGAGCATTTTTCCATGTTATTCAATACTGGTTTTTAATGGCTAGATTATCTGTCTATCTGTATATGTCTATATCCTTTTATATATTTATTTTTGAAATTTAATCTACAGTAATGTACAGGTTGATGAATTTCTATGTTGCATACACTCATGAGACAAGACCACCACCCAGATGGAATTATAGAATCCTGTGGTCCCTCTCAGTCCATAACCTTCCCATTTTCACAAATTGACCCCCAGTTTATTTACCTGCTCCCCTATTACTGGACACATAGGTTGCTTCTAGTCTTTTATCCTTATAAACAATGCTGCCGTGAACTTCCATGTACATACACGTTTGTTTGCATCTGATTGCTTCCTTCAGATACATTTCTAGAAGTTGTAAAACACTGGGTCAGGGGGCATGAACATACGGGAACGCTCTCAGTTAAAATGCTGCCTCCTTGTCAAACATCTTTCCCATTACGCTTGTCCAGAATGGCCTTGCCCCTCCTTGGTGTTTCTGCTGCACTTTGCTCAGACAGTACAATTATGGTATTGTATTCATGGGCCCCCGACCTGTTTCCAGTGCTTGGCTTCAAAACTAGATCCTCAGGAGCAAGCTTTGTGCATCTTTGCATCCCCCTACCTGGAGACACAATAAAAATTGTTTGAGTTCTCTTGTCTATCTCTGAAGCCCTTCCTAAAAGCAGTGACGTTTCAGGGCTATTCAAAACCAGTTGAAATTGGTTTCACTTTGAGAGTAAACAAGACTTGCTACATAGCCGAGGAGAACTCTGAAACCCATCTCTAGGTACTTCTGAGATTGTTGACGTGGTTAAATGAGTTAATACACGAGAGTGTTTTTTAAAAATTCCCACCAGACTGTTAAACTCAGAGCAAACATTTTTTTTTTCCTGTTAATCACTGGAGCCCTCACATACCTTATTGGGTTAAGTCCAGTAACTCCCAGGGGTTTATGTGTCTAAAGGGGCACACAGTTGCTTTTCCCTTCAGGAATGCATCTGCCCGGTGCGTTCCTGCTGTTGCTCCTTGCCACCAGGTGGGGTTGCTGTTGAAGACTGGTCCTGTGCAGTTGTAGGAGCTGGCCTGCTCACAGCTTCCGTCTGTGATGCCCTTGCGTGTCCGGCTTGGGCCACTGCAGTCTGTCAAAGGAGAACAAGCCCACTCCCTCACTCCAGGCCAGGCTGAGGATGCTCTGCACTGGGGCTCCTGAAACTGCCTTCCTGCCACTTCCCATGGCAAGAGCAAGTCATGGGGTCAGAGCCGTTTCTTCTCTGTGGAGGCCACCTTGCTAAGAAGTGAGGCAGCCTTTTCAAGGGCATTCCAAGTACAAAAGATCTTGGCCTCTCAGGACAGTGGGGCCAGTGCTCTCTGTACCTAATATAAGGGACACATTGCTGGAGAAGAACCATTACATTACAGCAAGAGGATTTACCTGGAGCCTCACCTTTGCATAACTGATAGGAGCCATTCAAGAGTCTCTTTTTTGAAGCAGAAAGTCTGCTAGGTGAACTGCAGTGTCTATTCTGGACCTAAAAGAAGATGCTAACCTTTTCAAGATTCCCATTCAGTGGCCATCTGATTTAATCTTTACAAGTACCCTTTTATATAAGTTAAATGTGAAATAAAACTGTATATATCTGTCTATGTGCATCCTCATGTGTATATAGTATTATATTTAATATTTAATTCATTCATTAAATATTTACTGAGCCCCACTGGGTGCCAGATCTGTGGAACTGAACTGCATACCTATGTCTGAGTGTGTGTATACAGTTGCCGTGTATCTGATGAGATGTTCATTCACTTATTTCACAAATATTTAATAAGCTCTTTTCTGTCTACTTGGGACACTGAGTGGAGTCAGTGCCCTTGCAGACCTCACAATGTTCATATTTCTTCTTAGTTTAAAAAGAGCAGGTAATGGGCCGGCCCTGTGGCTTAGTGGTTAAGTGCGCGCACTCTGCTGCTGGCGGCCTGGGTTCGGATCCCAGGCGCGCACCGACGCACCGCTTCTCTGGCCATGCTGAGGCCATGTCCCACATACAGCAACTAGAAGGATGTGCAGCTATGACATACAACTATCTACTGGGGCTTTGGGGGGAAAATAAATAAATAAATAAAATCTTTAAAAAAAAAAACAGGTAAGTTGAGTGCTTTCCAAATTTTACTTAAACAACCTGACTCATGCAAAACAAATTGCTTATTTCTATGTAATCCTTGATTAAAAAATAAGATACTGGGACCGGCCCAGTGGCGCAGGCGGTTAAGTGCGTGTGCTTCGCTGCAGCAGCCCGGGGTTCGCCGGTTCGGATCCCAGGCACGCACTGATGCACTGCTTGTCAAGCCATGCTGTGGCAGCGTCCTGTACAAAGTGGAGGAAGATGGGTGTGGATGTTGCCCAGGGCCAGTCTTCCTCAGCAAAAAGAGGGGGATTGGCAGATATTAGCTCCGGGCCGATCTTCCTCACACACACACACGAAAATATATATATATATATAAGATAGTGTACATCAGAGTTAGATATTAAAAAGAGAAGTAGGGTGGGAATATACTTGGGGAGAGCTTGTTTATTTCGCTTATCTGAAGTAAGAAAGAATATCTCCAGGTGGGCTGGTTTCCAACTTGCACCACATACACAAAGCACTTCATTCTAGGAAGGAGAGAGTAAATTAAAGAGAAGTATTTTGCCCATGTTTATTTTCTCCTACAAGTGTGATATAAAACTTTTAACATGTGCAGAAGCAAGCAACCACAACCACGTGTGGAAACAGCCGTTTTTGCAAATAAAAATGCTTCCCAGAAGCATGACAAATGCAAGACTAACAGGTGTAGCACAGATCCAAGGCGCACATGTGGTTCTCATCAGCTGCCTCTCTCCTGTTTTAAATCTAGGTCTTCCTCTAACAACGAAAATTATTTCTTCCAAGGCTGCAGGCCGATAATCCGCTCAGCCTGCTTTTCCACCCCTTCTCATAACAGTCATTCTAATAGAGCTTCCAGAGAGAGAGAGAGTAGAGACAGCAGTGAAAGAAGGCAGCAAGGTGGGGTGGGGAGCAGCGGGGGGCAGCCCTTAGACTTGACATTAACAATTCTGGGTTTGACCTATAACTCTGGGTGACCTTGGGTCTCACTTTCCTCCTCCATGCAAAGCATGGAGGTTTAAGGGTCCTTTAAACCAGTGGTTCTCAACAGAGGGCGATTCTGCCCGCCAGGGGACGTCTAGCAATAACTGAAGACATTTTTGTTTGTCCCTGCTGAAGGAGAGGGTGCTACTGGCATCTAGTGGGTAGAGACCAGGGATGCTGCTGAACGTCCTGCAATGCACAGGACGGCCCCTACAACAGAGTGATTCGGCCCCAAATGTCCCTGGTGCCCAGGTTAAGAAACCCTGGCGTGGACACAGGTTTGCAACCTCGGGCTCAGCTCATGGCGCTGGCTTTGGAGCTTTTGCAGCCGGGTTGGCGGCTCCTCCAACAGGCGCTTTACTGTCTCCCGTTTTCGTGATCCGGGCGCGGGAGGCACTGCAGCCCCCTGCGCCCTGGGGGGAGGAGCGAACGGAGGCGGGGAGGAGACGGGCGGGGCGGCGGGCCTTGGCGCCCCTCAGATGACCCTTCCGAGCAGAATCACAACGTGGACGTCTGTCTGCCTCGCCCCCAGGAGCGCCGATCTAGGGGCTGGGAAGGACTCCCGGGCTCGGAAAACTTGGCAGCTTCTCCCGCCCGCGACTCCCGTCACTGTGGGGACGGCTTTCCTCCCCGAGGAGTGGTCCTTCCGTCGCCCTGCCCGCCCCGCGGCCCAGAAGCAGCCGCCCAAAGTGCCCGGGTTCAAGGACTCGGTGCGCACCGCGCGTTTCCGTCGGAAACCTCCGCCCCCCGGCCCGGAGGGGGGCGGGGCCTCCAGGCGCCGGCCGTTGCCCCGCCTAACCGCCTCCCAACGGCTCCCTCGGCCGGGCGGTGGGGCGGGGCGGCGCGGCGGGTGAGTGCCCCTGTGCGCGCATGCGTGGAGGGGCGGGGCAGGGCCCGCGCGGGGCCCCGCCCCGGCCCGGCGTCTCTGCCCGCCCCATCTCCCAGCCTCCTCAGCGTGGCGCCGACGCTGCGTGCGGCGCGGGTTACCCAGAGTGCTCCGCGCAGGGGCAGCTCACTGGAGTTTGGTTCTCGAGGCGGCGGCAGTAGCGGCGGCGGCGGCTCCGGCGGCTCCTCCTCCTCCTCCTCTGGTGGCGGCGGCGCCCCGGGCCTGAGCCCCGGCCCCGGCTCCCCTCTCCGCCACCCCGCGCGCCCCTTCCTCCCCCGGCGCCGCGGGGAACATGAGGCTCCGGTCCCGGAGGCCGGCGAGTGAGTGACCCCCGTCCCCTGCCTCAGCCCGCCCGCCCGCTGGCCCGGCCTCTACCCCCCGCCTCGCCCAGGCAATGACAGCGGCTCCGGCGTCTCCGCAGCAGATCAGGGACCGGCTGCTGCAGGCCATCGACCCCCAGAGCAACGTAAGTACCCGCCGCTTGGGCCGGGACGGAGGCCGCGTGGGCCCGGGACCCTGCTTTTCCCCGGTGCCCCTCGTCCTTCGGGCTCCGAGAGACCTGCCCGACGCCCACCTCACCTTGAGGGCCACTGCCATCCCGGCCTCTCGCCCCCCGGGCCCGGGCCGGGGGAAGGTCGGGCAGCCCGGCGGCGCTTGGTACGTGAGGCCGAGGCTTCCGTGCGGCCTGGGTGGAGGGAGCAGACGGGAGGTGAGGCCAGAGCTTTTCCTCTCCTCCCGCTTCGGTTGTACGACCCTCGCTGCTCCTGACGGAGCCCCCCCGCCTCGCCCTCCCCCGGAGGCTCGCGACCCCCGGGAAGCCCTCCCGGCGCGGGGGAGGGGTGGGAGAAATGCTGTGAAGCAACTGGTGTCTGGGATATGACTCGGGGAGCCGGTGCCTCCCGTGTCTCGGCCTTCTGGGTGATCAGGGAAGCTCTCCTTCCCTCTTCTCCCGGCTGGAAGCACCTTTTTGGCTTCGGAAGGAAACCCCCCGGCGTGCTTTGCCCCTAGCCGGGTGCCCGGGGCGTGTGGAGAGTCCCCCTTGGTTCTGCTAGTCGACATGTCTTTTCCGGATCCCTCTTGGGGTCGCTGCCGACGAAAGATAATCTTGGGGAGGGTAGGATCCTTCCTGTTGCCTTTCTGAGCCTAAGTGTCCATTGCGTCTCTGACCAAGCCAGAGCCCCCTTGTTTAGCAGTGAATTAGAAATGATTGTTTTCTCTTCTGTTCCCCCATGAGCCCTCCTTCGGCTGTCTCTTCCCCCACCTGGAGGTCCCAGGCTGGTGCTTTGTGAGCTAGACGGTCAGGGTTAACCCCAGGGTGTCGCTTTCTCAGATGGCCCTCCACCGAGGCTACTGTTTGCAGAGGTATCTCCCCTGCCCCCCTCCGTGTGTGTAGGGGAAGACTCATCTTGTTTTCATATTTTTTCCAAAGGGTTGTTGGCAGTAGGGGTCATTTTCCCCTATGGCAGGAGCGGGTTGAGCAATAGGAAGATGCAGTGGCATCCAGGTATGAAGTGAGCCCCTGCATTTGCTGAGAGATCAGGAAGTGGCAGTTGGAATCTCTTTTTAATATGCTGGGGACGGAAGGAAAAACTGTCTTGGGCTTGGCCAGGTAACCCAGGTTTCTCTCACTGTAGGGGCTTTTGCTTTTCCTTTATGTGAGTTTGGCTAATTCCTCTTAGCATTATGCTTTGGCTTGGTATTTTTGGAATAATTCATGTTGGATTGTACAGTTTTGGTAGAAATTGAGGAGTTATGATCTTTATAAGGCTCTGATTTCTGTATCATAAGTAATTCTCTCATCCCTGGTCTTTAGTCCCCATTAAGATTGATTTGGTGGTAATTGTCTTTAACAAATGTTGTATACATTTTTGTTATGATTTTGGGGGTGGAGTAGGCACAAGCTATATAAAACCTTCCAGAATTTTTGCAGCAAGTGGTGCTGCTGTGGTGGCCAAAACTGAAACATTAGAGGATAAAACAAGTGATATGAAAAATATAGCATTGGCGACTTTTGTATCTTTTGTCCAGTCAGAGTATAATTTCTTGAATTCCATGTGCTTGCTTGCCTTCCAGAGAATCTGAGAGGTGCCTGAGATATTAGCACTGATCCTTAATGCCACCTAGGAGAGCTTTGGGATCAGGAGGCACTTTGACAGGCGGTCACAATGTTGTAGATTAGGTGGGGCAGTGACCTCCGAGGTTCCGGTGTTCTATAAGGCTGTAATCTAAAGGCTTCCTAGGAGTAGAGGAGGGAGAGGAGGATGACGGGCTGGCCAGAAGCAGGAGGAGGGAAGAAATCCAGTTTCGTGTATCTTGGCGCCTGGTGTGTGCAGAAACTTTACATTTATTTAAGCCCGTGATTGTGTTGCATGGGATGTAATTCATGTTTCATTTGGCTTCTTTTGGGGTTTCTAGTGATAGGTGTACGTTGAGTCCTACCTACTAACATAAGTGTGATGGATGGAATTGGGAAATTGTCTCTTTGAATATGTGCAGCAAGGAAAGTGCCTCTTCTAAATGCTGCCATTGTAAGCAACCACCGGTGAGCATTGTTACTAGCCATTTGACAGGAGCCTGGCTTGGAGCAAACCCCGTTATAGAAACTCAGCTGTGGCAGAATAGGTTGCTGGTGGAGATGGTACGACCGTTATGTCTGCGGTTTCTTACGAATGACCTGGGCTCAGGTGAGAGTGAGGTGGCTCCAACAAGGTGTTGCTGCCACACAGCTGCTCTCCTCTGCCTTGCCCAGTTATGAACTCGACTTCCGTATAGTTAGTTGACACATATTTAAGATGCTCGTGGAAAAAAAAAATGGGGACAGTGTTGAAGAGCCAACACTAAAATTAAACCTCTTCTGAGAGAAGCGACAGAATTGTGTCGTGTAATGCTTACCTTTATGGGCATGCAATTATGGTTAACAAACTTCGCTTTTGCTTGGTCAGGCAGCTGACCTAATATCCAGAAGTATCTAGAAAGTTGGGAGGTAACAAAGTAACCTTTACTGACCATCTCCTTGACAAAGAAGTTGTTAAGAGGAAAGTTGTTTCTGTGCTCTAAATTCTAGCCTGTGGAGTATTTGAATTTCTACAGCAGCAGGCTATAAATTATAATTTCTGCCAGCTCAGTAATAAAGTAAATCGTCTACACTCCTTTTCAAAAAGCAGCTAACAGTTTTTTGGAACGGTCTAAGCCTTCTCAGCACCCTGTATGTCAGCCCAGGGTGTTGAAAATCTCTCTGAAGAGCAATGTGCATGTTTGTTCCCGCTTAATCTTGCTTCATTATGAATGAAGGGCTGTGTCTTCTCCTGCCCAGAAATAAGTCAGTCCACCCAAGCCCAGTGTCCACTGCAAGTGAGTAGGTTCCCATTTGTATCAGACACTCATTGTTTCACCAAAGTTTGGCCTTTGTCTTCCTGACCAGAATGCAGGCTTCGTGAGCACGGTTCGCTTCTTGTCTTCTCTCTCGAGCAGAAGCATTCAGCGCATTCTCTAAGTGCTGATTCAACTGACTGAACCCGGGAATCCTACTTGGACCAAGGACTGAGGAGCTACAGTTGAGCCCTCTTTTACCAAAAAGCCCTCGTGACTGCTATATGCCCTGAAGTTCAGTCATGGAATATTCTAATGCAGAACTCTGTAGAACCGTGAGGGACGTGGATGTTCATCTGGCATCTGAGAAAAGGTCTGACTGGGAACGGTGGAGCAGGTACTGCATCCCCATGACGAGTTGAATAACAGCACAAGGCAGGCCCTGCTCAAGGCAGGTGAGTGTCCCTGTTTTCAGAGCAGGGAGAGGCCAGAGAAGGCACTGTGGGGAAGAGGGACTTGAACTTCCCCTAGACGTCTGTGTCAATGCCTGGTAGTGGTCAGGCTGTCCAGCAGGAAATCTCAGGAACTACTTTCGTCCTCACAGTTCTGGAGACATCAGATGCCAAGGGGAGGCGACCACAGGGCCTCTGCAGAGAGACACACACTAGAAGGATAATTTTCCCACCTAGGAACTTGAAGGTTAAGACACTGCTTAGCTTTGCAGGGCTGCGGGTTCCTCATCTGCAAACTGGGATTGGGAACTGGTGCGTGCGCCCCATAAAGCTCCTTCTAGATTCAGGGTTCAGATTCTGGAAGGGGCAGCAGAGGCTAACATTAATTGTTCTAGAAGTTTTCTCTTATAATGTAAGGTGCATTGTGTGAACATTCTAGAGTAACACAGTTCTGACAGAATTCCACACAGAGATACACGCTTTACATGATTTTGTGCAGCACTTTGACGGTGTCTCCTGCTTCTCCCCAACAGCCCTGTGAGGGAGGTGGGGTGAGCAGCTGGTCTCCCCTTCTGCAGGTGCAGAAGCCAACAGCATGACAGTGAGTGCTGTTCAGTGAGTGTCTCCTGTGGCCAGGAGAGAGCAAGATGGTTTTTTTCCTTCTTGACTTAATATGAGGTGGCTGCCCCAAAGTTATTAAGTGATGGTGTTTCCAACTCTAAATGCCACCACACTGCTCTCTAAGGTGGAGAGACGGCTTCAGAAGAGGCCCAAGAGGGCAGCGTTCTTTAGCTGGTAAGAAAAGATGTGGGGAGCTGCCTCTCTCCCACACAAGTTTATATGCAATTACACCTCGGGTTCGATTTACTTGTGATAGGTCTAACAGGCTGACCATATTAGACAGCCTGTCCTGGAAACATCCTAAGGTTTCTGTTGGGGACAGAATCCTAGGCCAGACCACACCATGGTGTGGCAACTGCCAACTGACGTGGAATTTTTCATGAGTCTTGTGTTCTGGCTTCGTTTCTGCTTCAAGATTACAGCACTATTGATGTTAACTTAAAACACCATTGATCCTGCAGAAAAGAGGACTCTCATACACGGTAAAATGGAAGACTGTTGGTTCTGATTCTCTCCAGTGTATTAGAGGATACGAAATCTAAACATGTGGACTCTGCCTGATCATGCTGGTTGCCTAAATTCCGTGACACTCCTTTATATGTGGCCAGGATATGTGAGGAGAGCAGTGTGGTGTCTTATGACTTTGGGAAACAGGTAGGTAACAATTATCAGGTGTGAAGCCAGGTGTAAGTCCTTGTTGTGATTTACTCTCTCCCTCCAAAAAAGGTGGCCTTTACATTCTGTCTTCACGCAGTTCTCCAAGTGGTCCTCAGAGGTGGCTTTAATCAGAGTGTGTTGGAGGTCACAGAGGCCTGGAGGACTGTCCAGGATCAGCCTGTGGGAAGGGGCTTTTGTCCTGATACAGATGTAAAAAGGCACTGTGGACACCTGGGCTCAAGACACAGCTGCGTGTGGCAGCACACGCACCTCAAGGGTGCCAAGCTCAGGGTTAGGTGAAGGAAGGGAGCTCGCCTCACCTGTGCCTCAATTTTGGTGTTCATGTGAGCGTCTTCTCAGACGGAGCCCCAGTTTAAGCAGAACCGAGTCCCAGCCTGGTCTCTAGGTGACTACAGTCCAGTGGATG